CGCGTCCACGCGCGCGCCGCGGACCAGGTAGAGTTGCGCGTGTTCGTCCAAGCCGTGCTGGGCCGCCACGTGCAGCGGTGTGTCCCGGCCGGGGCCGCACTCCAGCTGTACTGTCGCACCGTGTTCCAGCAATGCCTGCGCGCACCTGCGGGCAGGCCAAACCGGTCACCAACCCGTGACCATCCGCAACCCACCTCCCACAGCGCTGGGGCACTATCCGGCGAGCTCCAGGGCCTAGGCCACCCACAGCGAGGCGAATAGAACTGAGGCAAGATTGTGGCAAAACAGGGTCCTAGTCCCACCGTATACCAAATGAATAGGAACATTCTGTAAGCACTTAGATTTAGGATGAGAATGGCAATAACTTGGTGCTATTTGGGAAAGTAATGTCTACATGACAATGTTCAGGGCACTGGTCACTCGGACTTTATCTGCACTCAGTCAAAAAAAACCATGGAGGTTAAGGTCTAGAGTGAATCCTTTAGATCAGGCTGCGCCATATTTTCCTGTGCAAGGCAAGCCTTGCTCCGAGACTGGGGCATCATCCTTACCTCAAGGGCACTGACTCAGCCAGGCACCAGAGCTTCTGCTTTGGAAGCATCAGGCAGAAGCGCACCGATGTCTACATACGGAGCGGAGCTACATACCCTTCCTCCTTGACCAAAGTGTGTGCTTTGGCTGTAACGCAAATTTCCAGTTTCCTAGAGTTTCTGAGCCCCATGGAGGATGGCTTCTTGCCCTGAGGAGGACGGATTCTGCTGCCTCTAGGCTCACCAGCTGAATTCAAGACTTCCTTTGACCCCAGACACCTTCTCACAGGAGAGCATCTTCCTTGGCTGTTCTCCTGTCCCCTGGGAGCAGCCCCGCCTCCCCCTCCCCCATCCCATCTTTCACTGGTGGCCGTTTGGACCATGTTAGATCTGGCAGCCTAGCCCTCAGGTGGGAAATGTAGTCTGCCAACCTGAGAGGGGGAAAGTGTTCACAGACCCCCCTCCAGTGCCTCCAGTTTGTCTCCTGGGGCTGAGTCCCGGGCCGGCGCCATCTCTTTATACTCCTGCACACTGACTAGAGAGCACAACACACCCGCGTCTGCTGACAGGATTCTCCATCTCCGCCCTAGTGAGCCTTTCTCCTTCCGGTTTGGTTTCCTATCCCTCGGCAGCGCTGTGGTAACCGCCCTGTCCTCATTTCCCTCTCTGGAGGACAGTATGGCCATCCACATTTAGAAATTGTCAACCGTTCCTCCCCATTCGGCAGCTGAACTCTGCAGGGGGAGGCAGGACCCTCCTTGGAGGCTGGCTCTGTTTGGCCCATCTAGATCATCACATAGCTTCCTCCGTAGTCCTGCAGTTCTCCAGCCCTAGCCTGTCGCCCTCAGGGGCATGTCATTCCCCACTTCCCACCCACCTGACTAGTGCCTTCTTCGGACCCTCCAGCATGCTACCACAGCTCGCTGGAATCTCGCTGGAATCTGTTGGCCCCTGCCCCTCTCCATCGATGCAGGAGTCTACTCCAACTCCGCTGGGGGCGCTTTCAAGAACTCCCTCCCTTGCTGTCTCCCAACAGTGGCTCCTGTTCCGGTGCCTGCTGAGATCAGTTTCCACATTTGCTACTTCTGTTTCCCCCATGTCTGGTTCTTCCTGCCACCTTAGCATCCCCAGGGGAGGGCCTGTTTCTGCCCTCTGGCTGCCCTTTGTCATTTCCCTGTCCTCCCTCTTTCCTCCAGCCTGGCTGGTGACACCATCACTTGACTACCCTTTTCTCACCGTTCCCACTGTCACTGCCATTTGAGAGCCTCCCTTTCCTGGAATGTTCGGGAGTCTCCTATTTTGTCTGCTTTCTGCCTACTAAGCTCCACACAACCCCGAAAGAATCTCTGTGGTGTGCCGAGCCAGCGGATCCACACCTGCTTATGGCCCCGCCCTTTTCCCTGGGACGCAGGTGCCACCTGATCCAGCCCCTTTGAGCCTCACCAGCTTCCCTTGCCAAGACCCCTCCTACTGAGTTTCAGTTCTTGCTGTCCAAAGACAGACCCTAGGATCATCCTGCAGTTGAATGCCCTCATGCCTGTGTGTGCACTTGTTCCAGGGATTCACTGACATGGCCTCCAGCTTCCCATATCTTCCTCTTCCTCTGGAAAGCCTTCCTCGCAACCCCAGGCTGAAGGGTTGTGTCTTTGTATTGTCCTTTGCTTTGTGAGTATGTGACCAAGCAGGACACTCCCAGCAAAACCGTACCATTGCATTTCCAACGAGGGCTGGCGCCTTTGTCTCTTGTCTTAAAACTCTTGGCTCCTTGTGCATAGAGAGTGTGTCTGACTATTGGGTGTAGTGCTGTGCCTAGCTCATTATCTGTATTCCCTGAAAGCCTGTTGAACAAATGCCTCTCGCTAACGACCATCTTCCAGCTCTCTATTGCATCGCTGCTGTTTTTCCTATTATTTACTTAACTGGGGCTCTGATCCAGATCATCCATCGAGGGTTTGGGGGCTGACAGCCGCGGCCCTGAAATGCATTTCTATTTCTTCCTAGGGACTCTCAGTGTCTTTAATTCTCCCTTTGTGTTTCTCTTGCCTCCGCATCAGCAGTATCATGAGAAGTGGTCTGTCTTGGGTGAAAGATCTTTACAAACAACTACAGCGGTGATGGGAAGCATCCTTTGGGAAGAAGGTACCCAGCTAAGAAAGGATGCAAATTTTACAATCAGAGCGCTTTGCTTTGCTTCCTGCCTGGCTCTCTGGGAGGAATTTTGAACGGTGCAGCGGGAGCTTAGAAATCAAGGGCTCTGTCTCATTTTGTCACCGAGCCTCGAAAACATTATAAACATTTTTCTCCTACTTTTTTTTTTTTTAAAGCAGCGCAGCCTCCAAAGACAGAGGAAGAGTCCTCGGCCTGATGGGCTAATGGCGGGTTGCTGTTTGCTGCACAGGGACAGAATGGGAACACTGGCCCACACCCGGTAGGGTTACAGATGCCCGGCTTTTCTGTTTGTAATGGAGAACTTAATAGGCTAGCCCTTGGTGCTTTGTAATACTGGGCAGTGGCTGGAGATGCAGAATCACAGGCTGGAGAGAGAAGCCACAGGACAAATTGGTGGGGGCATGTCTCTCTCAGCATAGGTCAGGCGGTCATTAAAAATGAAGGCGTGCTAGCCTCGGTAATGACACACACACAGATCTGCCCCATGGATGCATGGAACCATCGGGCTATAAGACACACCGACAGGACCGTCTTAAAAAGCTACCAGTAAAGAACATGTCTGAGGGAGCCTGGAATTGCACAGGGTGAAGTGAGGTGACCGCGGCGGGGGGGGGGGAGGGGGGTGCTGTGGTGATGAGGGGCTTTGGTTTCTTCTCACTGATTTACATTTTCAAAATTTCTAAGGCAAGTTGGAGTAGGAGTAAGAACAATAACCAACACTGTTAATTACAAAGCTGCCCCGGCACCCATCAGCCCCAGCAACAGCTGGATTATGAGAATGTCCCTCTTTCCAAGTTTTCAGAACACTCTAAGGGTTTCCATCGATGTCGCTGAGAGCAGCAGGGGTTTGGGACTCCAAGTGTGACAGGCGGAGAGAAGAGGGCTGATGGTCAAGGCAAAGGAACAAGTGCCGGTTTGGGGGACTTTCTGCATCCCACCCCCGGACGAAACCGCATCTTCAACAATTTATCATTTCCACACCACAGCTGTGCTTGTGGCGGCTTCAGTAAAAAAAAAAAAAAAATGTCCTCCATAGGCTCATGCGTTTGAATATCTAGTTCCTGGTTGGTGAGGCTGTTTGGGGGAGACTGTCGAAGTTTTAGGTGGCGCCTTGGAGGAAGACCGTCACTGGCGGTGGGCTTTGAGAGTTCATAGATTCACCTCGCTTTCAGTTTGCTCGCCTGGCTTCCTCCACGTGGCTGAGAGGCCATCTTCTGCTCCTGTCCCTGCTTCCAGGCCATGCCAGCCTCACCATTATGGACGCCCCCGCTACCTCTCTGGATCCGTAAGCCAACATAAACTCTCCCGTGTGTAAGTTGCTTTGCTCAGGGTGTTTTATTAGAGAAACAGTAAATCGCTAATGCAGGGGTCCAGTGCAAGAGCATCTCTCAGGCCTTCCGAGGCCTGTGAGGAGCACCGCTGGGGCTGAGCCCCGAAGGCTGAGCTGGGATTCGGTAAGGGAGTTTTCTGGTAGCCGGCTAGACAGGCAGAGTCAGAAGGGCCTGGGGGTGGTACAGTCTCTGCTGGGAGCCAAGGGTAGAGACATCACCTGGACTCTCAGAAGAACAGGGACTTCATCTCACAGGGATTAAGACACTGCATAGTCTTGAAAGCATCTGATGCAAAGAAACTTGGACAGACACTCACCCCTACTTCCCCCTTGCCCTACCTCAATCTTCACCCCTGCCTTTGACAATGACTGCAGAGATGAGATAAGGGCAGCTGCTTCAAGGTCAAGGGGACATAAAAGACAAAGGCCCTTGACTGAAGGCAGGGGTGAACAAAGCAAGGGCAACAAGAGCTACTGCACCAGGGCCATTTTGTCTCGCCCCATAGCAGGAGCCTAAAGAGCCCACTTCCTGCATATGACTGCAGCCCCATTTAGAGTTCCCTGCAGACCCCGGCTGTTACTGGTCACCCTCTGGCAGAAGGTCCACGCACCTCCACTTGCCTTTCCCACTTCCCACCTCTTCTTCGCCCACCTGTGCCCTGCCTGCTTGCTCAGCCTCCATGATTCCTGCGCGTTCCATCTAGACCGTTCTCATCTGTGCCTCATGGTCACCATGCTTCCGCAAGGCCTGTCGTGTGGTACCTAAGTTGGAAGGCCTTTTGGCATCTTCAGCATTTTGTTTTTTTCTTTTAATATTTTATTGATTTTATTGTTGTAAGTGTGTGTGTGTGTGTGCATGTATACATGTGCCAGGGTACGCGTGTGGAGGCCAGAGGACACCTCTGTAGAGTCAGTGATTTCATTCCTCCTTTATGTGGGTTCTCAGAATGGAACTCAGGTTATCAGGCTTGATTGACAAGTGCCTTTAGGGATGGAGAGATGGCTCAGTGGTTAAGAGCATTGCCTGCTCTTCCAACGGTCCTGAGTTCAATTCCCGGCAACCATATGATGGCTCACAACCATCTGTAATGAGGTCTGGTGCCCTCTTCTGGCCTG